TAGATGTGGCTAAATTATGAAAATAAAAGAGTTTTTTAGCCAGATTTGCGAAAACGTGAATTTTTACCCCTAGGTTTTTTTAAAATTATAGCTGCATTGCTGCACAGAACTTGTGAAATCTTAAAAGGTCGCCACTGTGTAAAAAAAGCTAATTCATAATAACTTATTGCTCGTTACCACTATGTTAAAAGATCTGGGACTTCTTAGCAGGAAACATAGACAAAACTTTGCAATTTAACCAGCAAATTCCTAAGTTCAAGCTTGAAGTCCAAAACTTCCCATTATATTTAAATGAGTTGGGTACAGAAATATTTCTCTTAGTGGGAGCCTTAACATATCACCTTCAGCCTACTGAAAGCATGAAATGACTCATGACACTCGTTGAATATTTTTGAAAAGGAATTCCTTGAAAAAAGAAATTAGGATTTAAGAACTCCCATGTTACTAAAAATCAATATTAGAGTGTTATTATTTGAGCAATCTTATTTAGGCAAATGACATACTTAAAGCTCAGTATTGTCCTGTATTATGAGGAGTAAAAATTGGTTTTATTTAAAAAAAGGTTGATAATTTCCTCTGAACAGTATAAAACAGTAATCCTGTCAAATCAGTCCATAATTAGACCTGAATCATGACATTATTGTTATACAAAGAACCATTTCAGATGTATTAAGAGGATTCCATTCAGTATTAACCACAGTTTTTCTCTTTCTTCATCTTAAAATTTTTGGAGACAGGATGTTCAGGCAGATTTGGGTGTCAAGTAAATGGGAGAAAAAACAACGCAATTTTGTGATCTTAACATGTCCTCTGTGACTTACTTTTTGGTGAAATATGCATGTCACAATCCTCTCATGTAGAACTGCTGCACACAGGGTTACATGTGTTTTGTGCAAGACAGCACGAAGCACTGTTAGCTCTTGGAACGGACCGAAATATGGACAAAACACACCAATGACTTTGAAAAGTGGCATGAGCTACTTCACAAATGTACCTAAGATATCTAGCAAATGCAACAAGAACAACTTTGTTATGCTGACTAGTCCAGGAAGTGATGCTTTTAGCATTTGTGGTTAATAGGAGCCTTAGCTGTGCTTGATCACTTCCCCAATAAGCTGTTTAAACATGAGGCATTAGGCTAGAAAGCTGAGCACTTTCACAGAGGATGGGGGTTAACAATTCTCAGCACTAAATCCTGTTTGATCTGCTGAGAAATTCAATCCAGCAAGAGCACAATTTTACTTAAGAGCACAATTTTACTTAATAGCATGTCGGGAGGGGAGGTTGCCAGACGTGGGATGTTTTCCTCCTGGCTGAGGTCGGGCTGCCAGAGCTGGCCCGTATGCCACTGCATGGAGTTCTGCTGTCCCCCTTCCTCATGGTCCTGCTCCCTTTTGCAGTGTGTTTAATACATGCACGTTTATTCATGTGTGAGCTTCTTATTTTCTGGCAGCTGTTGTAGATGAGTAGGTGAATTGTGGATGCATTTTTGGAAGTCTCCCAAGGCACAGATACTCCCAGCCCACAAGAAGGAGCCTCATTCTCCAGGTGGAGGTTTCCAGCTGAGAAATGTACCATTAATGACTGAAGAGAAGCCAAGCTTTTCCCTACTGTGCTGATGCACAGGTACATTCACTGATGTGCATGCTTCTGAGGGCTACCTGTCAAAGCCAAGAGCACAAGGCAGCTATAGTGACAGTATTTTCCTCTTGTGCACATCCTCCACATGGTGATTCACTGTGTGCTTCCTTGCAGTGTGCTAGAGCTGCGTCTTGGAGAAGAATGGAAAATTTGTCAAAATGTTGCCACTTTAGCAGAAAGCTGGGTGAGTTCCCTTGCTTTTAATAGAATGTACCTTTCTTTTACTGCTGCTAATGCAGAAAGCAGCTGATCATATTCTGTGGGACTCACATTATTTTTATAGTACTTGGTCTTTGGAATAAACCAGAGCATATTGCATGTCAAGAACCACAAGGGTTTTATGGCGGAAGACAACCCATGGGTGCTGTTTCCTTCCTCCAGGCCTCTGAGAGAAGTTGATTGCTATACTGTACCATCAGAGACATAGTAGCTCCCTGAAAATAGAAAGGATTGCCATTTGTCACTTTAAAGTGCATTCAACATGCACTTGCCTATTTGAGTTGTTAGAGCATTTTGTCATGCACTTGTGCAGCACCTCATCCTAATCCACAACTGCAGCTCTTTGCTGTAATACAAAGTGATGATAAACTAATGTCTGGCTTGGCAATATTGCTACAGTCTCCAGTTCTGAGAAAGTGCTTTCATTTGGAGAAGAGAAATCAAATGGTAGATTCCACTGTCTCTCACCCTTCCTGTCCGTGAACAAGCTAGTCCTTGTTGTAAACCCTGTGTAACTTGCTCTGGGGGAGGAGGCACTATAGAAACACTCCCACCCTTAAAATAAAGGCAGTGCTTCAGTAGTTATTTCTTGAGGATTTTTTCTAGTAAACTGTTTCAAAGGGAGAAGGAATGGGTTTCTCAAAAACCAAATACAAAAGTTTCACAGGTAGCAAGAACCAGAGCAAGAAGAAGTGAAATGCACTGCAAACATGATGCTTCTTCTAAACACAAAATCACCAATACAGAACCAAAAAACCACTGTTATTCAGCTTCCAAAGTCTGGGACTGTCTCTCTACATGATACAGAGTAGACAGACAGAATCCCTAGATAACCAGCTTCATCAGCTGTGCTCTCACAAGGCAAACTCTGCTTTCTCAGGCTGCTCAGCCTGAACTCACATAACACCCTGGCTGAGACCAAGAAGATGACTTGCATTGCTCAGAAGTACCTTACCAAAAATAAACATCCACGGAGCCATGGAGCCACTTCTCTTCAGTGCTGCTCTCAAGGGCTTGCTGAGTTTCCTGGAGACACAAAAATCAACTGCCAAGTAGCACTCCTGGCCCACTGGAGTGGTTGCATTGGTACGCTCTCTTAGAAAGGACCGTGTGCTGCTGCCTTTAGGCTGGGAAAGTTTCCAAGCATGTATTTCTGCTCATGCTACAAAGAGCCACGGCAGGCAAGGGTTAGCAATGTTCTTTCCTTGGTTTTCACGTCATACAAATATCAGGGTATAGTAATGAATTCATACACTAATTTTATGCAGTGCCCTCACAGGCTTAGTAAAGAGAGTAAAGGCAGGGAGCCTCGGCAAGCAGATTTGACACCTGCAAACTTGTAGATATGGGCACAGAGCAGAGATAAATGAAAGGGGTATCCCATCATGTCTAGAAACTGCTAAGTTATAGACAGCAGAGGGACAGCCAAAACAGCAGGATATGTGGGGTACTTACATGAGGGGAGGAGTGAAGACAGTGTGGGTAGCCATAGGTTCTCTTTATATATCCCAGCTGCTGTTTCCTTGGCAAGCTCAGCTCACAGACCACAAAGTCTGTATGACAGAACAGCAGCTGGGAGATATAAAGGCAGAGATTTGAATATAGTGTGTATTTTAAAACATGAAAACACTGCAGCAGAGTCCAACCCCTCCTTGTCCTTTCCCCTGACTACCTTCAGCACCATTAATCTCAAGTTAAACCTAGATTGGTCTTTGAGCTTGGGCTTTCCTTTCTGATTACAGTGTTTGGACTACACAGTGCCAGCTAAGCCCCAGATGCTAGAGTTGTGCATCAAAGGCACTCCCATTCCCAGATGGAGGATGCTATGTTAAGGGACTGCCACCTGGCAGCGTCCTCAAGGAACTGCAAAAACACTTCACAGAGGCTGAGGTTAGTGAGACTTGTGGGTGCACCCAGGAAAGAGAGATCAGATCTGGTTGAGCCAGATTGGTGCTGGCGACTGAACTATCTGGTGTTAAGGGGCTGTTACTGTGACAAAAGACACAAGGTCAGTGGAACATATGATATGACAATCACCTTATCAGGGATTTTCCCACTCAGTTAAAAAGTTGTTCTTCCTTTGAGAAAAATCCCACTGTTTTCCCTCTCTTACTTCAAGTTGGCTGAAGACAGCTGACCTAGTTGAACTTAGTCATGGTCCCTTTTTCAGTAAGAGCAAAGCTCTTGACTTGTGAAGATATACCCAGGGAGGCACGTGTCACCTTGTCCCCACTCTTCCTGTTAAGCAGAGAAGACCAAAGGTGAAAACTGTACTGAAGAGTGGCATGGGACGAAAAGAACAATAAAATAAACCTCCCTTGGCCAAGACCTTGTAACCCAGCTTCTTTCGTTTTGAAGTCCTCAATGTTGCCTCCTTACCTGTGCTACTCTTACCTTTTTTCTGTGTTGTGACAAGCTGGCAGATGAAACAAAAGCAATCAGTGAGTAATTTCTCTAAGATTTCAGAAGACTTCAGTTGTCCTACCCTTTGGATATGGTCCTTTGCTAGCCAATATCATAGGAAACAAACTTCTATGCTTTTGTTTGAAAAGAGACCTGCATAAACAAGACATATTTGAGGCCTAGCTGAGCCTGGGAGTCTTTTGCCAATAGTTATTGCTATGCTTAGTGGGTGAAGGAATCTTGACCAGGCAGCAGTAAGCTTGCTTATCTTTTCATAATTTATGTAGAAATTTTCAGACAGAGGAAAGCTCAAGAGAGATTGAGAGCTGGAGAGATTGGGTCCCTTTTAGTGTTCAGAGCCAGCACAAATAGTGGGTTAAGGTCCTGAACCACAACACTAACACACCTTCAGCTGTGACCTCTTAGGACCATTGCTAGATGTGACAGCTTGGCTAAGCCTGCTGGGTAGAGAATGCCCTATGTGCACTCATATATTGAGGCTATGAGGAAGCTGACCAGTGAATACCAAATGAACATTTCTTTCAAGAAAGATAGGAAAAAAGCCTACTCTGCCATTTATGCAAGTCATCTGACAGGAACCAACCTGGGGCCAGACCTGTTGACCTAGATGTGAAGGCATCTGTGTATCCCACTGCAGATTATCTGTGATTCCCAGATCCCTCTATTCCCCAAACATTAGGAAACTGAATTCAGTAGGAGGACTGCTGATGCCTTACCAGTCAGTGTGTGCATCATCAATCACCAGGAGGATCTTGGGTTTCTGGGCCACAGGTGGTGTGGGGCTGACTGAGTGATCAATCAGTCCTGCAGCTGCTTGTGTGGTTTGCTTCATGGCACTGGAGATGGAGCTGAAGATGCTGGTGCCAGTGGAGGAAGAGTGCGAGGGTTGAGGTGGCTGTGGATGCTTTCTCTCCGTGGCAGGAGAAACTGGAGAGCTCGTGGAGCTGTCAGGGCGCTGCAAGTCCATCATGTAGCCATTGGGCAAATTTGCCACAAAACTACTGTCTGAGAGACGCCGCCGGAGGAAATTCATTGTTGCAGCGTTGTATGGAAACTTTCTCAGCAAGAGCAAGGCTGAACAATGGTGTCACCAGTCCTGGGGGATGTCTCTGTGTCTGTGTGGGTACCTCCTTACAGTCCAGGTAGACAGGCTTTCTCCGTTGAAATCTTGATGGAGAAATATATCTTATTTTTTCAGCTGTATTTTCTTTCTCTCCTATGGGAAGAGAATCAAAGACATATATGTGAGATACATACTGTGAGACTGAGATAAGAAAAACCCTGTTGGCTTAGATGGGTACCTTAATCAACAAGAGAAGAAAGGACTACTGGTTGCTATGCAGTATGCTACACTGGTACAGTCAAACAGGTAGGACAAAATATGTTTCACAACTCTCATCCCCCAACATTTTCTGGTCAGTACTACCAGCTTGCACTACCTTAGGGGCTAACAATTCTATAGCTATTCAGTGTGGAGAGAGAAAAAATTATTCTGATCATAAACGTTAATTTTAAAAAGAGAGACAATTTCTGGTATTTTGTGTGTTAAAAATAACACATGCTTGTTATAGAATAACCAGCAAATGATGCAAATGAATGAAGTTGTATTATCCTTGACAGGTTTGTAAGCAGGGCTCTGAACTTAAGGAATCCTAAATTCAAATAGCGTGTAAACAATAAATAGTAGAAAAATCCCTATACACCTTTTGATCAAGTGCAGTGGCAGCTTCAAACTACTCATTTCGGTCCCTTCTGCTCTCTGCACTTAAAATTTGACTCTGAGCGAGGTGCGTGCTGGTGGTTGGTTGCTAGATACTAGCAGGCTATCTGATTTTGCAAGTTCACTTGTAGGATTTTTGCAGGTACTCAAAACTAGAAGTTTGGCTGTCTAATCTTCACATATTCTTTTCACTCTCTTGTCTTTTTTTAGGAAGAAAGAGCTCTCATTCCACTCATCACTTCAAGTGAGAAAATGAACATTGTGAAATGTAAGTATTTGACTCTTCTCCCTTGACCACAATATGATGTCTTTGTTTTTACTCCAAATATTAAGTATTTCAGCAGTTAAATAATCTCATAGTTTAAAGAATTTTTCACCTTTAGGCACATCCCAGAAAACAGATTTCCACAGTAATTTCCCAAGAAATTTTTATCTGCTGAGACAGCATTTGAGTCTTGTTTGGTGAGATTTAGGGGAAAAACAAAAGAAAATTATTGCTGGTAAAAAAGATATGTTTTTCAAGACATACATATCTGCAGTAATGAAAATAAAAGAGTTCTCCCATACATTAAGTGAAATGAGTCACATGCACTCTTCGTATCATTGTTTAAATCATTCCCTAACTTCGTCAAGTCTTTTTGAATGACCTCCTACAAATACTGTAGCTCCTTGCCTTCACGCAGTTTGGTCTCCCTTACTGTTCATGCTCTTGTCCCAAACTCTCTTTGCCTTCTCATGGCAGAAAACTGTCTTTTCCCAGCTGGCCCAAGAGAGCTCAATGTCTGTGAATCTCCATCCTGGAGCTGTGGGTAAGAGCTCATGGAGCAACCAAATAGCTGTCTTATAATAAGCTCTCATTTATTGTCACGTATAGGGATTCACAAAGCTTTATAGATGGAGGATTCGGACCTGCCTATGTCCGTCCCCCTCATAGCCCCCAAACCTTTAGGGAAGCTCAGACGAGCCTACATGCAAATAATCAAGCTGCAAAGAGCCCCTTGGCACATGTGCCCCAAATCTCGTCATCCATCACCACTCCAACCCCATGGGCATAGGATTCATCTGGAGCAGAGGGCTCCCTGCTGAAGCTGCTGACATTGGCTTATTAGGGTAATTTTTCTTTTGATTTCTCAACCCTGGCAGTGCAAGTCCTCTGACTTTGCTGGAGCCTGGACTTAGTCTTTTCCCAGGGCATAGCTCAGGAAATCTTTAATGACTTCCTGCCACATTTACAGTCGATAACATATCTTGAGGCATTGTGCTGACTTCCTGCCTGGTCCTGGCACGCCCGGTGACTGCACAACATCAGCGAACACACACACACCAGTGAGCACTTTGGTAGCACTGACTTGTTTTTGCAGCACTCGTTCCAAAAAGAAGGTAACAGATAGTATCCATGAGTTATGAGCTAGCTGCTCACCTCATATATACACCCACACAGCACTTGGCCTACTCCTGTCCTACCACAGTAACTGCAAGTGCCAGCACAGAGTCGTCTGCTGTTTCCTGTCCAGGATGATCCTAGTGGTAGAGCCTACAGGGGTTTTGGGGGATTTATACACTACAGACTGGGTAAAAATGTGCTGCGCTGTTCTCTGCTCAGGAAACTGTGTGTTCTACCTTGCTTGACACAAATAAGCAAAATCCCTTCACTTGAATGACAGTCCACTTAGAGTAGGTCCAGTCTGGGTTAAGAGGAACATCCCAGAGATCTGTCTACTGTCAGAAGGGATCCAAATGAGTATCCCATTACTATATACAGCAATTACGTATGCTCTCTCCTAGGACCTTGGTGTTAACTGGCCAGACATGGGATATAAGTTCGATACTGGTCTTGGGAGAAGCATCTTTACACAAGATGCCTGCCCCTTACACGCTTTGCACTTCATCGCAGAGCTGCTGGTTCCTGCTGTGGCAGCTCTCAGCCACGGGAGGGAACCTAGCCCCAGCCATACAGGCTGGACCAGGCTCTTTTCACAAGCCTAGGGACAGGGTCCATCAGGACTTGAATGCTTCTGAAGGTGCATATCCCACACTGCCAAGTGCTTGCATGGCTGCTTTCTCCTCTGTGAGACTTGGACTATCCAAATGAACAGGGGCATCTTGCAAAGCATCAGCCAGTAAAGCTAAGGGCAAATATCTCTACTCTGCCCTGCACTGAGGGAAGAAGGGCACAGAGGCATGTGGCATAGGGTGTACCAAGGCTGGGTAGGGTCAGAGTACTCTGTGATGTGCCTGGAAGACACAGGGGTTTCCTCTGCAACCAGGCTTCCCAAATTGTGACCAGTGCTCACACTAAACAATATATCATACTTATTGCAAGTCTACGATCACTCTCTTCTTGGACCCTTTCAAACAGCAATATTTACAGTGACCCATCTTTTTTTTTTCCAACAGGGATTTAGTAGCAGAAGATGTTGCCCAAGAGACACTGGGAGCTGGCAAAATTCTCTTGTCTAGAGAATATGGGACATTGCCAGAGAGAGATTTCCTCATGACATCAGTTGCTTAGGTTTTCTCTCCTTCCTTCCCAAGCCAACAGCATGCAGCCCAGTCTTAGCAGCTAGTGGAGACAGTGCCAGCCGGCAGAGGGAAAGGCCAGACTAAGTGCAAAGTATGCAGAGGCTAAATTCAAACAGCATGACAGTGCTGCAGCAGAGAGTAACGCCTGGCTCCACTCTGGGGGTCCTGTCAGGATCTTCAACTTTAGGTATCTTAGAGTGATGGTACAGGCTGTCCTCCTCTCATTACAAACATTTTTCTAATGATCTGAGTAATGTAATTAAAAGAGATTTTATTTTTTTTAAATGAGGTTATTGGTGGCTTTGCTGTATTGATTTGTCAATTGCTATTAGTACTGCCACAGAGAAGATCTTTTCTGCAATGAGAGCAGTGTAACCTGCCAGCAGTTTACACTGCTCTGATTACTGGAAAACCTCATGGCCTGCTTCTGCATCCTGCACACTTGCTGTTATTTAACTTTCAACAGTAGGCATTTTCATACAGGCACAGGCTGAGTGGGTTAGGACCTAGTTTTCCTACTGCTTGAAACTCCCTTTGGACTTCCTGAAGGCTCAGCACGTCAGGCCAAATCTGGCTCTGTGCAACTCTCATGCAGCACTGCATCCACCCAGTGCACATAGAGAACCTATCCCAGCAAGAGAGTGGGGCTGTAACTTCAACAAAGCCAGGAGCCTGCATCTCCATCAGAAATAAGGCAGATCTGCTAAGTTGTATTTTATCACTCCAGAGCCTCAGGTAGGAGAGGTGCTGGCTCTACACCATCAAGTTGTACCTTGCTTGTGTACACCAGTGTCTTCCTATGCATCACAGGGAGGTACATCACCTACGTAATGGTTGTGCCAGGCACAAACTTACCCCCAGGAAGGTAGCCCCCTGCACAGCTAGAATACAGCCCATGGCCTGATTCCAGGCAAAGCAACAGTTCTTGGGGAGTTCCTCTAGTTGCAATACAAGCAGCTGCTTCTCACCATGCAGGAGTAATCTGCTGCTGTGTGAAACAGATGCTCCTGAAAGCTAGCTGGGAACACAGGGCATCTGGGCTGTGAAGCTGCAGGATGCGGATCTGGGCTATACTTCCGAATTGGGAAATAATAAGCGAGGCATAGCACAATGAGTGAGTCCTAAGGAAAGGGAGCAGGCAAGAAAGAGAGTGAGAGGAGGAGAGGAGGAGAAGGCATAAGCAGAAAGGGAGGAATTAAGCAGGAATCAGCTTAACCAGGAGACAGTGCAGGAACACAGAAATCCTAAAAATGTGAGCACCGCCAGGAATCAAAAGGAAACAATGTCAGCAACCAAATGAAGCAAGAGTAAGTTCAATTAGAGTTGACCTTGAAAACAACAGCAAAGAGGCTGGCACCATCAGCCACTTCCACTCAGTTAAACTTCCTGGCTGATATTTTTGGAAGAGCAAGGGAGGATATGCAATCTACTCACTTAGCACATTGACAGCAGCCAGGCACCTACCTGCTTTCTCTCAAGGATATAGTCCTTGGAGATACAAGTTATCTCAGAAAACCTGTTGACATGTGTTGGAAAACAAGAACAAAATGTTCACTTAAACCTCTTGTCGGGTTACTTTCTGATGTGCAGTAGCATCCAGAGGGAACCAAAATCAACTGGCTCATAGCTGATAGCTGTTTTCCACGCTTAGATTTCCCCTGAGCTTGTTATCTTATGCTGTTAGGTAATGAACTGACACGACCATGCCAGCTGGTGTCTGATTACTGCTCTTGACAGCCTCAACAGAGCAATGCTGGCAGTGGCAAGATGGAAAACCAACATGGGAAGATTATCCTCCCACCTCACCATAAGGGACTTCACACTTATTTCTGCCCCTTGGTGGATAGTAAGGTGAGGGGATGCTCCTCATCTGGCAACAACCATTGACTGATACCTCTCACATACATTTTGTGGATAGTCTTCAGCATACCTTCAAGTTTTAAGACATTCCCATGGGTCCTTTTCTGCCTTCA